TACGCGGGAGAAAACCCGAACAACCAAAGATCCACATACAAATACCCGCGAGAACCTCAGAAAACACACACACACACACACACACACACACACACACACACACACACACATATATATATATATATATATATATATATAGAGAGAGAGAGAGAGAGAGAGAGAGAGAGAGAGAGATGGATATGTATGTGTATACAGTATATATGTATGTATATGTATATTTTTGTGTATGTGTCAGAGATGGTATTCAGCAGGTTCTGACCAGTTCTGGAGAATCGGTTGCGTAAATTTTGAGTGGTTTGGAGAACCGGCCAATACCACTTATGATTGGCCCCACCCCCATCTCTTCTCCGCCTCCCATTGAGTCCCAGCTGATTGGCTGGGTCTCCTTTGGTTGCCCTGCACAGGAGAACGGAGCTGGAAAGCAGGTTAGTGGGGTGGGAAAAGAATGGAGATTTTACAGTATCCTGCTGCCACGCCCACCAAGCCACACCCACAGAACTTGTAGTAAAAAAAAATTGAATCCCACCATTGGTATGTGTATATGTATATGTTTGTGTGTGTGTGTGTGTGTGTGTGTGTGTATGAATAATTCATATATATTTAAATCTGAGAGTGCTTCAGTAGGAAGCAACCTTTACTTTCTTCAAACGTGGATGCATTTTTAACGGGCGATTCACTTAATTCACTCTTTTCCTCTCCCAACAGGTTGGTTTTTCCTCCGCCTTCCCAATTGCTGCCCCCGCATTTCAGCCCAGGGACGCCATGGACAGATGATCTTGGCTCTGCGCCGCCATGCTACAGATGCGTGGCCGCTACCTGCTCCTTTTCCTGGGAGTGCAGCTGGTGGTGATGGCCCTGCTGTACCGTGAGGGCTACCGGAAGCGCGTGGCTTATTTCTTAGGGATTTTTTGCAAAGGGGGCACTTGGACTATGCCGGATGGCTTCCCCAACGCGTCACTGCCAGGGGATGTCTACGCTAACCTCAGCCTGATTGCTCGGCCTCCTCTGCCCCCCGAGGAACTTCCTTACTGCCCCGAAGTCTCACCTTTTCTTGGTAAGTGAGCCAAAAATTCTGCAATGTTCAGTTCTCGTGACCTTCGGACCTAGAATTTTTGTTGCGAGGCTTAAAGTTTGTGGGCAAACAGAAAACTCCAGCTTCCTTGAAAATGAGCCATAGTCCTCGACTATACTCGGGGCTGGCTAAGTTTAAAGGTTGCTTTGTTGAAAGAGCAGCTATGGGGGTTGGATAAGAAAAAGGTGGAGGGAGAGGCAGGTGCCACAGCCAATATAAGAAGACCACGAGAAGCCTGCACAGGAACCGCCCTGTTGGAATTACTCATGTCAAGATCTGTGTAAACAGACTCCCCGCATCCTTCTACGCTCCCTGCCTCGGACCCAGGTTATTTTTCAGGCACAGAGTACAATATTGGAAATCCTTGTTTAAAAGGAAAAAAAAAAGAGCCCAAACGCTCATATGTTAACGCTGGGCCACTTCCTTGAGTTTGCTTGTCATGCCCTTGCTAAAGTGGGACTCTGATGGAGAGGAGGAACAGCGGTAGGGAATGGAGGTGTGCCTTTGGATGTTGTGGAGGAGGCTGGGGAAGGGCAGAGGCCAGAGGAAGAACCAGGCCCATCCCCTCTGCATCCTAGAACATGCAGGGAGGAACAGAGAAGGAAACAACTTGGCTTATGAGAGAGGAAGCGGCCATGATCCCCCTCATTGGTTGCAGCTGGGGAGAATAGTATATAAGAGAGATGGTTAAAACACAGCATTGCCAGAAGCAAAGCACCCATCCCCTATCCATCCTAGGGCAGGCAGGGAGGAGAGGATAAGGGAGAGATGTCGTCTACTCGGGAGGAGAGGGCCTTGGTCCTCTTCATGGGATGCAGGTGTGACAAAACTGAATAAGAGTTTGGACCTGCATACTGGCAAACACTGGAAACAAAGTGTGTTTTATTTTGGGCTGAAGTTATCTTGGTTGGCGTCCTTCCAACAGACTCTGCCTTGTTATCTCCTTGCAGCTGGTAATTACTTATCCTGGTCTGTTGTGGAATTTCCTTCATTGTAGTTTGTTTTGTGTTTTTATTTCACCTCTATCTGCTCATTAAGTTCGGACTGTATTGCTTTCTTTTGAAGACTATTTTTGAATACGTTTTATCTCCAATTGAGAATTATTGAACAGTGAGGCCAAGTTGGAGGCATTAAAGGACATTTATTTACATTTTGGAATTTTGTTACATTTGTGTTACACTCCGGGTCATCACACTGCTGGTTCAAAGAGAGGATAGTAAACCTCACCCTGCTGCAGCCTGACACATTTTCTTCCTTGGTGTGTTGGCTAGGAATTCTGGGAGTTGAAGTCCAGTTGCAAGTTTGGAAAACGCTGCTCTAATTCACTGATTTATGGGGCAGTAGGAGAGAAACGGACTAATCCATCTCTGCTCGCGTGCAGGAGGGCCCATTCGAGTGACACTTCCCCTCGGATTGACGCTTGAAGCAGTCCTACGGAGGAATCCCTATGTGACCAAAGGGGGGCGTTACCACCCCCCCGACTGTGACGCCACTCACAAAACGGCTGTCATCATTCCTCACCGTAACCGGGAGCAACACCTCAAGTACCTGCTGTATTATTTGCACCCTTTCCTGCAACGACAGCAGCTCAGTTATGGCATCTATATCATCCATCAGGTATGGCATGGGTTCAGAGGTGAAGCCGGGAACAAACTCTCCTACGTTTGTCAGCAGAGTTCTTGAAAGGAGACAAACGTTTGGAGACGAAAGCAAGTAAATGGAGAGCAGGGATATGGAGTAGGTGGAGCCATCACCATTTTTCCTGCTGTGGAAAACTGGCAGTCGCAGTCTCCAGTTCAATGTGTGGGCTACACCTGTGACCCAGGATTCTGTGCCTCAATCAATGTCCACCAGACATTCTCACCTAGTAATAGGGAGGAGGACCATTACCAAGAGTAGCAAAAGCACTTAGGCTTATATACCATTTCATAGTGCTTTACAGCCCTCTAAGCCAAGGGTCTTCAAACTTGGCAAGTTGAAGACTTGTGGACTTCAACTTCCAGAATTCCTGAGCTAACATGACTGGAGGTGGAATTCTGGGAGTTGAAGTCCCGAAGCCTTAAAGTCTGTCAAGTTTGAAGACCTCTGCTCTAAGCAAGTCAGTCAGACAGAGTCAGTCTCTTACCCCCCAACGATCTGGGTCCTCATTTTTACCAACCTCAGAAGGATGGAAGGCTGACTCTACCTCGAGCCGGTCGGGATAGAAATGCCAAAGCTGTTGGCAGCCAGCAGTCAGCAGAAGTAGCCTGCAATACTGCATTCTAACCACTGTGCCAGCACTGATCTAAGATTCCTTCGTGCTGGGCACAGAGGAAGTATGAAAAGGAGATTAGTAACTCGGCTTTAATTTTGCTAGGTCAGTGTTTCTCAACTTTGGCAGCTTTATAATATTAGCTGGAGAATTCTAGGAGCTGAAGCCCTTATATCTTAAAGCTGCCAAGGCTGAGAAGCACAAGTTGATCTGGAAAGGCTTTCCACCCTACTAGCCATAAATATTGTTCTAGAAATCCAACTACTTCCTGAATTTTCAGCCTTGAAGGACTTGACAGTTGGAAATAAGAGTTCACACAAAGCTGCTTGTATAAGATTAGGCTGCAATGAGAGGTAATAGCAGAAGATTGCAGGAGTTACTCCTCTGAACCCCAAAGTGTATGATGCTTTTCTGCTCTGCAGAACTTTTAACAACTTAGTTGTTAAAAAAAAACTAGAACCAAACAAAGATTCCAAGGGAAATCAGGAATCAGAATTAAGATTACACATCCAAATTTTAAATAAAGGAGAACTGAGACTAGGAACTGAAAAACAAGGTGTGACCAGTATCTAGTACAGTGGTACGTCGGTACTCAATGTTAATTTGTTCTGGGAGACACAACGAGTACCGACAATGAGGAGTAGCAAAAAAAAAAAATTCCCATAAGGAATAATGTGGTGAGTCACAAGGAACTGAAGACAGAGCTTAAATATGGCCGATGGATATGTGACTGATCCGATCTGATGCAAAGCCTATTGGCTGTTGGACTAGATGCACGATTCAATCCCTCTTAAGGAAACCCCATTAATCTCAATTGCTGGTCCATGTCAATTGTTTGGTTACCCTCTCTTTCTCCCAGACTGAAAGTTATACTTTTAATCGGGCCAAGCTTTTGAATGTGGGCTTCAAGGAAGCTATGAAAGACGAGGATTGGGACTGCATATTCTTCCACGATGTGGATCTCATTCCGGAGGATGACCGAAATATTTATACGTGCGATCAATTTCCGAAACATGTGGCTGTTGCCATGGACAAGTTTGGCTACAAGTAAGCGTTAAGCTTAAGGCTAGTGATATTTCTTTCCTAAATAGGGAGCCGCTTCCCCTTCCCCTGTTCTAATACTCTTTTTGGAAACAAAATTGTATTCAGAAAGGGAGCTTTCTTTCAAATTCCACCTAGAAATAAGGTGCAATTTCAGTGATTAAAGATCAGGAAACCCTGAGTTTAAATCTTTCCTGAAGCCATAGAACTTGGTGGCTGGAAGTCATTGTTTCCCCAGCTTATTTCATTTCTTGTTTTTTTCTTTAAATTCCTTTCCATTTCTATTTTGGAAATAGGGTGCAATTTGAGTGACTAAGGCCCAGAAAACCCTGGGTTTATATCCTTGCTCAACCATAAAATGTACCCGCTGGCAGTCATTTGTTTCCCAGCTTATTTCTTTTGCTTGATTCTTTTTACTTTATTTGGCTTCCCATGAAAATGGATGCTTGACAGTCCAGCCCCCAAATCCAGGAACACAGCCGTGAACTCGGGACCTTGCAAAAAACACCAATAGAGTTAGGAGTAAACTGATGTCCACAAGGAGTGTCTTCCACAGGGCAGGTACAACCACAGAAAAGGCTCATTTCCTGGTCCCGCCAGATCATATTCCTTAGCTGCTGGATCTGTAAAGGGCCTCTTCAGCGGGTCAGAGGAGGAGCCGCTGAGGGACAGAGATGACAGTTGTTCTAAACATTTATTATTTAAATCGAGTTGATTCAAATCAAGCCTTTTTACTAGTGATTCAAATTATGATTTAAATCGGCTTGATTTAAATCAAATCCACCCTGCATAGGAACCATTGGTATAGCCTTGAACTCTAGAGGAAAGGTGATAAAAACGCCTCGTTAGATGGGAAATCTTGTCGACTGTATTGGCTTGTCTGACTAGCAGAGAGGAAAAGGAAGGTGCTTTCCATCAAACAAGTGGAGGAGGGATTTTTAGATATCCTGGAATATGAGTTATCAGCCTATCCATCTTACGATCAATCCCAAGACAGGGGACAGTCGGAAGCAAGTGCCGTTTATGATTGGCAGCGTATGATGAGACTGCCTTGAAGGCCACGATGGTACAAACGCCGGCCGGGCCTTTCCCTTTTATCCCTTTGGTGGGAACCAAGTCTCAGTGAACCTTCTCACTAACAAAATTGTGAGTTGGGGTGGGAATGTCAGCCCACAGGTTGCTGTGCCGGTTCTAAGGTTTTGCAAAGACTCTCCTTGTTGTGCGGAATGCTGCCTCTTGTAAGCTGATGTTCTCCTTCATTGTTCTTCTGGCAGGCTTCCCTACAAGACGTATTTTGGAGGGGTTTCGGCACTTAGTCCAGAGCAATATATGAAGATGAATGGATTTCCTAACAACTACTGGGGCTGGGGTGGTGAAGATGATGACATCGCTGTCAGGTATGACTTTTATTGACAGGTCGGTTGCAATCTGGGCTGGAAGCAGTAATTCCAAGGAAGGACAATAGCAATAGCACTTAGACATTCATATCACTTGACAGTGCTTCACAGCCCTCTCTAAGCAGTTTAGAGGGTCAGCCTACTGCCCCCAACAATCTGGGTCCTCATTTTACCCACCTGGGAAGGACGGAAGGCTGAGTCAACCTTGAGCCTGGTGGGATTTGAACTGCCAAATTGCAGTCAGTCAGCAGAAATAGCCTACAGTACTGCACTCTAACCACTGCGCCACTGTGGCTCATCCCCAAACACTATTAAGAGGTTAACGGTGATTAATAAGATACATCAATGCGCAGAAATGATTAAACTATTTTATTAAAAACAGGGAAGAAGAATATTTTACAATGTGGAATATATGGTATAACTGGTTATAGATGGTATAACTGTTTGCTCCCATTCTTCCTAGGCAGATTAAAAAGCCAGTTTCCATCTGGTGGTGTGCTAGTGGAGTAATCCCTGGGTGGTATCTTTGATTCTAGAAGCAGCCATGCCTGTTGCGATCACTTGCTAGCCTCTGCTAATGTTGATCCTTCCCCTCCTTCAGGGTAGCCCTAAGTGGGATGGTGATCTCTCGCCCGTCTATTCAGTATGGCCGTTATCGCATGATCAAACATGGGCATGACAAGGGCAATGAACAGAATCCCAAGAGGTGAGTAGAAAGAAATATTGAAGAAGAATTTGTAGACGGAAACTGCTCCCAGCATCAGATGCAGTTCGCCTGTTCCATACTATTCCTCCTCTTCTTTTTCTGTTGCTCTGCCATTCTTCTGTTCATAACAGCCATGACACTTGCAGAATCTTCTAGGCCTGGATATAGACCTCACTATAGAGGTACTAGAGGGACGCGGTGGCTCAGTGGCTGGGACGCTGAGCTTGTTGATCAGAAACCTCGGCAGTTCGGTGGTTTGAATCCCTAGCACCGCGCAATGGAGTGAGCTCCCGTTACTTATCCCAGCTTCTGCCAACCTAGCAGTTCGAAAGCATATAAAAAATGCAAGTAGAAAAATAGGCGGTGGGAAGGTAACAGTGTTCTATGCGCCTTTGGCGTTTAGTCCTGCCGGCCACATGACCACGGAGACGTCTTCGGACAGCGTGGCTCTTCGGCTTTGTAACAGAGATGAGCACCATCACCTACAGCCAGAAATGAGTAGCACGTATGTGCGAGAACTTTTACCTTTACCTTTACCTTTACCTTATAGAGGTTCTACCGTGAATAACTTTCAGAGAACAATTTTGTTGGGTAGATGTAGCAGTCAAGGGAACTGGTCAGGTTGCCCCCCAAATTCAGTTGTTCATTTATCTTAAGTCCGTACTCTCTGATGGAAAGTTGTCAGCTTGTCAGGAATTGAAGTATCACATAAGGGTAAACTGACACCACGAAAAAATCTGCAGAGAAATGGAAGGACAAGAAAATACAGCGTAGTCAGATTTTTTTTTGAGGCTCCCTTGATTGTTAATATATTTCTTGCAGAGCAGATCTTGCCAGAATGCTTTTCTTGTGCAAAATAATATGGACTAGAAACCTATAGCCATTAGAATAGCAAATGTAAAAATTTAAAACTTTGGCCTTCTTTGTCTTTTTTGCCTATTGTAATAGAAGCCATAATTGGTAGTAATCATCTGTCTGGTTCTAAAAGCAGTAACCCTATAGCCATCTTTCTGCTCCATTTGCAATATTGCATAATCCCTTCTATCTATCGGTCTGGTTTGTTGTTTGGCCCCCGTTTCTTTCCCCCTTGAATTCTTTGTCTTTACCAGTACAGGTGATCCTTGTTTAGTGACTGCCCTGTCTAGTGACTGTTCACAGTTATAGCAATATAGCACTAGCACTAGCATTTAGACTTATATATCGCTTCACAGTGCTTTACAGCCCTCTCTAAGCAGTTTACAGAGTCAGCCTATTGCCCCCAACAATCTGGGTCCTCATTTTATCAGAAGGATAGATGGAACTTTATGGCTGATGCTCACATTTACAATTTTTATGGGTCAAAAAAAAAAAAAAAAAAGCAAAGCTGACGGAAGATAAACACAGTCGTGGTTTCACCTAGTGACCACTTCACATAATGACTGAATTGCCAGTCCCAATTAGGGTCATTTCACAAGGACTACCTGTAGCAGTTCTCCCACTTCCTAGCCATTGATTCCAACCCTTTCCTTATTTGTTCCTGAATTTTAGCTGTAATCTGTTTTCAGATTCCATACAGTTGTCTTTGGGGAGGTGGGGGGTGGGAATACTAACATGACTGGTTCGGGATTTATTGCTTAAAACGAACGTCTCTGTTCTCAGAGTTTGTTGCAAACTGTTAAAAGCATTAGGGATTTGTGATAGAGGATGCCTAAAGCCGTGATGGCAAGCCTGTGCCACGCAGAGCCATTTCTGCCGGCAAGCGAGCTATAAGCAAACTTACCTCACTACACATGCACGCATCTCACAGCTGATTTTCAGCCAGTTTGGGGCCTTTTTTGGCCTCTCAGAGGAAGGCTTCTGCAGGCTTTGCAGGCTGAAAACTAGGCCCTTCATTACTTGCTGTTTTTCCGGAAATACCAGAAGTGATGAAACGGGTCTAGTTTTTGGCCTGCAAAGCCTGCAGAAACCTTCCTCAAGTGTCTGGGAGGCCAGAAAAGGCCTCAAAACGGCGGAAAATCAGCTGTGAGGCACAGTGCAGGTAAGGGGGCAGGGTGGGTGGGGATTGCACGCGCATGCATAGGGGGCTTGGGTGGGCACGCATTGCCTTCTGGGTGCTGGCATGCAAGTGCGAGCATGCAAGCGCGCACACAGTTTTTGGCACAGGAGCCCAAAAAGGTTAGCCACCACTGGCCTAAAGCTTCTCTCAATTTGTAAATACGGGAAGCTGTTGATCGTAGACTCATATGGGGTGGGAGGGGCCTTGAAGGTGTTCTAGTCCCACCCCCTGTTCAAGGCAGGAGGCCTTACGTCAAATGGCCGTCCAGTCTTCTGGGGGGGGCGGGGCAGAGAGACGAGGGAGAAGGAAGAAGTTAAGGCCTCGATTCTTTCCATATGTCTTCTGCAGATTTAACTTGCTGGCCAAGACGAGGAGGACATGGAAACAAGATGGTATGAACACCCTGGAGTATCAGCTGCTCTCCAAGGAACTCCACCCTCTCTACACCAATATCACTGTGTTCATTGGGACTGAGAAAGGCATGCAACACACTACATGATGCATATCCGACAGAGTGGCCCTGGGGACAGGAGCCCCAGCCTGCCATTTCTTCTGGAGGGACCAAACCAAAGATTCCACCGAGGGATATTCTTGTCCAGAGTCGGGTGGCTGTATCATATTCTGACCGCAGAGTCCAGCTAGGATGCTGCGAGCAACAGCCCTGCAGTGACCGAATGAGGACTTTACACAGCCTCCCTCTCCCCCTCAGCTGCCCTACTCCTTTACTCCAATTTTGGGGTCCTTTTTAACCCTGGGGATTGAGGTGGCTTCTGACATTTCCTGGGATGCCTTCTGAACCTTGCCTTGGCGGAGCGGCACTGAAGTCACAAGGGGGCGGGGGGGGGGGGGGGGGGCTCCCTTAAGCAATCTGAATTTTCAGAGCTGTTGTGCCAGGGTTGGCTTTTTTTCTTATTAAAGTGCAATTTATTTTAAATGTAATGGCCAAGTGGCAGTTTTTTTCCTCCACCCCTCTGGAATCTGGTTCTGGAAGGAAATAGCAATAGCACTTAGACTTATTTACCACTTTATAGTGCTTTACAGCCCTAAGTGGTTTACAGAGTCAGCCTATTGCCCCCAACAATTTTGGGTCCTCATCTTACCCACCTCGGTCGGATGGAAGGCTGAGTCAAACCTTGAGCCTGGTGAGATTCGAACTGCCAAACTGTAGGCAATCGGCAGTCAGCAGAAGTAGCCTGCAGTACCGCATTCTAACCACTGTGCCACCACGGCTCTTATGAAGGCCTCTTCCACATGTTTCCAACCAATATGGTCCTAAGCTTTCCTTTGCCAATTGTGCCTGCAATACTTGCTGATGTTGTCGATCCATCTTCTTTTAGGTCTCTTTTGTGGATGCTTTTTATCAAGCGGGATCCGTTCTATGACTGCCTTGGTCCACCTGCCCTCAGTTCTTCTTGCTACGTTTGAGGGAGTCTGATCTCCCGAACGAGGGATGCTCTTTGCCAGGAGAAGCTGGGCAGCGTTTAGCTAGAAGGCGAGACATCGTCTGAGAACCAGCACTAGTGGCTCCGTTTGTGGAGCTGACTGCAGGTGGACACATTAACACAAGGGTGGTGGTTTCTGCTGAAGCGTGGTGCTAGGGGAACAACAGGCTTGCTTTAGTAGGGTCCAGATCAGTGTTTCTCAAGGTCAACAACTTTACGTGGACCATGCTGGCTGGGGAATTCTGGGAGTTGAAGACCAGCCATTTTAAAATTGCTGCGGTTGAGAAATACTAGTCTAGATGAGCATGATAAAAAAGTAACACTAGCTTCAGCTTCTTGGTTTTATTGCAAACACGGTGGCTCTGAAAACACCTTCGTTTCTCATTCGTCTGTACCTGTGCTGAATATGGCACTCTGGTTTGGTTTTACCCCTTTCAGATAGTAATCCCAAAAGTGTTTTTTCAAGAGGTAGCTGGGCTTTCTGTTTTTTTTCTCCCCTTTGAAGACATTTCACTTCTCATCCAAGACGCTTCTTCAGCTCTGTCCTTGAAAAAGAGCTGAAGAAGCTTCTTGGATGAGAAGTGAAACATCTTCACAGGAAAAAAAAACAACAACCAGAAAGTCCAGTTGCCTCTTGAAAAAGCACCTTTGGGACAACCATGACTTGGATGACTGAGAATCTCCACGGACTTTCAGGTGGTAAGTTTCAAAGGAGTCTGGCCAGTTCTGAGTTCGCATAAATGATTCCTGCCATTAACAATATGTGATCAAACATGCAGGATATCTTAACAGTTCCTAACTCAGGAAACCGATACTCAGCTATTAAAAAACAACAACAACCACACACACAATTTCTAGCTTTTGTCATCTGAGTTAACTCCCGTTTGTTCTATCACCCTTGAAAATGAGCGAACAGGCCACTTTGCACTTCCCAAGGGAGTGGGTGGCGATAATCTTGCATTACAGATTTCCATCTGTTACCGTTTTGTGGCCACCTTCAATTTTTTTTCTCTCTCTTCCGCTGCTAAGAGATTATGGATTTCCCTTCCCCCCTCCCCCACCCCCCAAAAACCGTCTTGCGATGAACACAGCGGTGGCCTTTATGAATAGATTGTATTTTTAGCATTTCTGTTATGCAAAAAACTCCACAGGTCGGTTTTCACAAGAGGAACTTGTACTTACTAAGAAGATGGATCTAGACCAGCATATACATCCGCTGGGGCACAAGGACCATGTATCATCCAGGTACTGATGTAAGAGAGCGCGAAGCGAATGTGTTTTCTGACATAGTTGGGAGCAGCACGATAGCCTGACTGGAGGAGCAATCTGAATTTTGTTAGCTTTATAGCAGTGGTCCCCCATTCCCAGTCCATGGACCAGCAGTGAGCCGTGGCATGCCAGAAACAGGGCCACGGAAACAAGCGAAGCCCTGTCCCACGGGATGCAGGCAGCATGTGAAACCACGCTCGCCTCCCTGGTTTTGCAGGAAAACCGATTCCTGGTGCCCAAAAGACTGGGGACTGCTCTGTAGCACATCAGCAAGTTCACGATCCTGTTAAGTGGCTTCCATGATGTTTACATATTTATTTTCAAAAAGGATACTTTTTAAAAAAAAAAAAGAAATGAACAAGACAGTTTAAAGGAAACTGAACAAAGTCAGGAAATCAAAACAGAAACTTGAATATAACCTGTACTTCAAAATAGGGAAGTTTGAAAGGATTCCAGCCTGATGAATAAGCTCATCAAGGAAGCAATAAAACTTAAGAAAACTTCCTTCAACAAAATGGTATTACTCAAATTGAGGGCAGGAGGCAGAAGGGAATAATAATCTGGTGCAAGAAATGTAATTTGGTGGCTAGGACGATGGAAACAATCTCTGGGGAATATTGGCAGCATAAAGACTTTTAACAGGAATGATTCGAATCCTGGACTGAGCCAAATGTGGCTTGCTTTGCCTTGGGTTAGGGTTTTGTGAACACACCTATTGTCTGTGTTTTAGATGCCCTTACAAATATAGCCAGAGACCTTTTGTGCTCCTAATTGGCAAGTTAGATAGACTGTTGAAAAACTGAATTCCTCAACTCTTCACTATTAAAAACATCAGACCTTTCCAGGATGGATTTTTTTTTTAAAAAAAGGAGGTGAATAAAGGTAGAGATGTGTTAACATGTACTGATCTTTAACAAAACATTGAGCCCAAATATCCATGCTGCTGCTATTTATTATCATTTATTGCAGATGGAAATTGGAAAGTAACCAATGGTTACCAATGGATTCCTTAAAAAGGAAACTGCTTGTTCAAATTGACATGACAAGTTTTGCTGAAGAATGATTTTCTGCTTCTGCAAAGACAACTTCTGCCTTGCTATTATTTTTTGCTTTTAAATGTTTTGAGCATATTAAATAAGCATGTGGTTCAGAAGATTTGAAGCTCCTGTGGAAACGCTGCTTGCTCAGGGGACAAAATGATGGCTCTCCTAAGGTGTTTACAAAAGCAGCAGGGCAGAAATAAACATAAGGAAGGGAAACCTGCAAATGTCACTATTAAGGTTTCTAATCTAAACAAGTTTGAAATTGGAGGGATGAGGTAGCCATGCCAATTAAAAACCGCCCTGCTATCTTTTCATATCAATGCATTGTTCCCAATACATATGTACAGGTAATCCTTGACTTACAAGCATTCGTTTAGTGACCATTCAAATTTACAACAACATTGAAAAAAGGGACTTAGGATTGGTCCTTGCACTTACAACCATCATAGCATCCCTATAGTCATGAGATCAAAACTTGGTCACTTGGCAACCGGCATGTATTTATGATGCTAGCAAGCGTCCCAAGCAGTGGTAGTCTACTGGTTCTGGCGAGCCGGTAGCAGCGATGAGCAGCAGAGGCTGAACCACTTGGGCCCACTCGCCCGCCCAGGCTCCCATAGTCATTTTATCCGCTGAATTTGAAGCGCAGCTGCTTTGCGCAGCACAGAATAGTGCCACGCGGCAGCTGCTGAAGCGACTGGGATTGGGCAGGCTTGCAGGAGGGGAGTTAGAACGCCTCTGTGCCTGCGCAAAGTGTGCCTTTGGCGTGCACGTGCACGCAAAATGTGTGCACATGCACAAAGCGCGCCCACCAAGCCACGCCCACCAAACTGGTGGCAAAAATATTTGAATCCCACCACTGGTCCCAGGGGTCATGTGATCAACATTTGGGACCTTCCCAGCCACCTTTCAAGAAGCAAAATCAATGCTGGAAGCCAGATTAGCTTAATGACCACAGTTCACTTAATAACTGCGGTCAATTTTTTTTCCCACCGTGGCCAAAATGGTTGTAAAATTAGGCATGTTTCACTTAATAATCACTTAGCAACAGAAATTCTGGCCCCAACTGTGGCTGTGAAGTCAAGACTACTTGTACCCCAACTTGTAACTTCACTGTTGATTGTGACCAAAGATCTCTGAGTTCTGGGTATTTCAAATAAAAATTAGGTCTATTTATTGGGGAAGAAACTGAAAAACTTCCAGAAATGACACACACTTTTAAAGAATAAGTAAGTCCTCACAAGGTTCTGTTAGGGTTAGTATCCCCATTAGGAGGAGCATTGACTGTTTTTGTTCATACCCTCGCAAAGAAAAACCATCTCTCAATCCCAAGCAAGTCAAATCCACACTACTATCACCAGAATAGGTGAAGGGGAAGAAATTAATTTGAAGAGAGTTTCCCCCTCTCCCCTGTTCAAAGTTCATGGAAGTTAACAGCACATTAATTTGGCAGCAGGGATTGATCTGCTAAAAACTGATAGGAGGGTGAAGGAAAGTCATGTGGCGGGTCGGATTTCCCCCACCTAGCAATGTGCATTGGCTTTCCCATTGATTTGCAGAAGAAACTGGGTGACGATGGGATGTCAATGGGGAGGACAGCCTTCCAAACAGGCCTAGCTATGGCTATGCCGTATTGAGCTCGATAAGTTAATGGCTGTTAGGCTGTGTTGAGGCTATTAACCCAATTAGCCATTATTATCTAGGCAGATATTTTTCTGTGCTCCTTTCATAATGTATATAATCCATTTTCTCAACCCCCCCCCCCCCAAATGTACAGGTAGACCTGGTGTGAAATATATCCAAGATTAATCTGCATTTGAGCTGATTTGGCTCAGGAAGCAAGTTGCAGGGCTCATGGCTGAGCTTAATAAACTTCCTTAAAGGGAGCAAAAGGTGATAGAGGAAGAAATACTTGCATCAGGGCGTGAGCTTACAAGGATACATGACGGTTGTTCTTACGGATCTATTATCGAGACATTAGATTGAACTGGAAAAAAGTAGCAGACATTATATCGTCCTAGGCCATCTATTGCATAGAAATTATTAATGGGAAGGGAACCTGGGGCTGTCAAAAACAATAGGGATAATTGTATTTGTGTGTGTGTGTGTGTGAAGTTTCAGATTTTTTTCCATGAAAAACCTGCTTGTGATTAAACTAATCAC